CCCCAAAACCCCAAAACCCCAAAACCCCAAAACCCCTTGAAAATAGAAATAAACGAAACTGAGACCAATTGATTAAAATAAAAATTTGATTGATAGTTGTTAATTTTGTATTAAGAAAAATGAATATTGGAGATTAAACATTAGAAAAATTGGCTTAGCTGTTTTGCTGTGATTCGTTATGTGAACGTGAAGTAGACATATAGCGAGAAGTATCTGCTTAAAACCCAGACTTCGTGCTGCTTAACATCTTTAAGAGAATAAGCGGTGCCTCATCGATTTTAGGAGTAGCTTAAGATAATCATCTAAATTGCATTACTAGTCTAGATTTAGTAGCATTTTTCAAGTAAAATGGAAAAATCATAGGAGAGAGAGATTGTTATTTGATTGTGACACTCTTTGATTCAAATAATGATGGGAGACTATCGTTCTCAGAGTAAGTCTAATGATCTCCATTATTTTCAATACTATGATTTATTTAAAGAAAATTTGATGATATTTTGTAGTTTTCAGCTAATGCTCTCACCCAAAGATTATTCATTAAAACAAAACATTAACGGGACCTCAAAATTCTACAGTTATGGTGGAAAACCTTAAAAATTAAGTTATAATGTTGAAATTGCAGTGCTAATGGTTTTTGAAAGGTATATTAAAATAAAAATACTCATTTTAATTTCAGGATCATTGAGGGATTGAAAATAGTAGAGGTGAAAAAATAAGAATTAGTATCGCAGTTTGATTGGAGCAGCTTGGAAGCTTTTAGAGTCATCGATGAATATTCTCATGGAAATATTAATAACGACAAGTAAATTATATTGATAACAGTTGTATAGTTTGAGGGTGTTTTTATGTTAGTATGATTGCTTTGCAAGTGTCGAAGAAGAGGATTTATCCAGATTAATAAGGAAATATGACAAGGACTCAGATAGAAAGTGGAGCTTCAGGGAGTTTGTTGGAGCTCTTAGTCCTAAATCCTAGTACTCTTTGAAAGCAAAGGATTTAGATAAAGTAAACATAAATGGGTTTGTCATGCCAACGCAAGATGAATACGAGGATGCAGATGAATCTGCTGCGTCTAAGGAAAATTTGATTCCAACATCAGGACCAGCATTTTCAAAAGCATCAAAGTCAACAACTGCAATGAGTTTATATAAAGGTGGCTATGATGCCGCATCAATGAAAAGTAACAATCAATATAAGTCCTTCACTGGTGACGACGGTATATTTAATATGAGACATGTGGACTCAGAAATGGAAGCCCCAAATAGAAAGTAGACAAACAACTCAATGTAAAATTAATCTCAGTAGCCAAGATCGAAGACTACTTATAAAGTGTTTGGCAAGGATGAGATTATGAACTATCCGTATTTGTGCGACGAATAAAACGCTTAAAATGTCTAGTAAGAGACAATGCTTGCCGATAAACTTAAGCAAATCAATTAAACCCGCAATCCTAATTAGTAAAATACTAATTCTCTTATTCAGTAAGAAAGCTTTGGAGACTATAGAGTTTAGCTCATCTAAGCTTTTATTGATATGATGCAAGTTGAGGGTAACTTAGAAAGAAAACGTCGTGAATTGACTCTAAGAACAGACTTTAATCTCAGCGATGTCTTCAAGCTCTTCAACTCTGTCAAAAACAGCAGAAGAGGAATTGATGTTGATGACTTGTTTTATGTTCTTAAAGAGCATATCAAACTTACCCTTACCAAAGATGAAGTTTTTATTCTATTCTATAAGTTGGACCGTGATGGTGATGGTTTCATTAATTACTCGGAGCTTTGCGGAGCCTTTATTCCGTTCTAGCATGAATATGCTGTATTAATTCAAAGCAGGCCAGCTTATTATGGAGAGCAAACTCATCCTAGAGAATATTTTAGCAATGAGACAAAGGACTTCCTTAAGAGAACTATCAGAGGCTTAGTTGATTGCGAAGTTAGTATTGAACTAATCAAGCAGAAAATATATCAAAAGTTGAGATTAAACTGTGAATCTGCATTTTAGCAAATCGATAGAAGAGGGAAGGGTATGGTGACAATAGATGATTTGAGAAATTATTTGAAATCTGGGAATGTATTTGCTGTAGAAAAAGAGCTATCATTATTGTTCACAAGACTAGATAAGGATGAGAATGGGGTGATCACTCTCCCCGAATTTGTAGCTGGAATAAGTCCATTTATGAATAAGAACCAGCAATGAAGAATTGAGTATATTGCCTTGTGAAAATTAACATTAGCTATGAAATAATGATTATATTAATATTACAATTAAAGACTTAATGAAATTAAGAAGTAATCTATATATTGGTGAATTACTAAAGGCCATAGCTTTACTACAATTTCATTATACTCAATCATCTTCAAGAATTCCATGGTCAATTGCTTTGAATAGTAAATTTGCTAGTTCACTGTGAGACTCGTATTCAAAATTAACTAGTATAGCTTCTTCTGCCACAGTGTGAGATTGTACCCAATAAAAGGCTGGTACAAAGAGACAGTCTCCCTCATCCACAATGATGTTTAACACCTTAGCTCTCTCATATAAGGGGAATTTAGTTGTGTTCACGCGTTGAAAGAAATTTAAGGGAGTTATTTCTGGATCTAATTCTTCAAGCACTCCTGAGTAAATTTCATGTTTGTAAACTGGTGAAACCATCCTAAATTATTCACTCCCTTTAATTACACAGACATATCTCTCTTTGTCCTTATACTCTGGCTTCCTAACGAATGGTGCCCACATAGTCATGCCAGTTAGTCTGTTTCTCAATATTTTACTCAGGAAATTTGGCTTCTGAATGTCATGTATTAGATTTCTATTTACTATCATTTCATTTTGGAAGAAATACATAACTAATCCACCATCAGTGTCATTCTCAGTCTTGTTCTTAAAATACTCAAATGTGTTTCTTCTATTGTAGATTTACATGCCATAATTTTGAAATATTCTGCTTTTATCATTTCTTTCTAGCCTTTAGATATAGAGTGACTAGCTGCCAAATGACTATTCAAGATACGACATGTCTCCCCACTTTTTGAATGCTGGCCATTATTTGCACCCATTCTCTACTACCAAGGGAATGTTTCTAGTCAAGTACTCTTTGTAAAATTTCTTCGGTGAAAGATCTTTGAAGTCAAGTCTAGGAACTTCATCTAGTTTTTGCATTTGCTCTTATAGCTATTAGAATAATGGATGCACCATTATGTTTTCTTGGACCTCGATAGAACTAGAGTGAATGAAAGAGGTCAAATCTTTTTCAGAGTAGATCACATAAATCATGCCAGCAAAAGCTATAATAATGGCTAGTAGGAACACATAGACTAGATTCCTGGGGATAGCCATTAGTATCGAATAAGAGAAAGACTCCTTTTCATTTACCTTTTATTTGCCTTGATTAAGACGCTTTTGTTCTCTGAGCATATTTTAATAATTATAATAACACGTTCTTTTATTAGCAGTATTTTAAATTTACAGAGTATCATTTACTTTACAGTTTGTCACTTCTCCAAATTTAAATAATTAAATTTATTACTCAACTGTTAATTTTTAATTGAGTTTGTAAATAAACATTATAAAATGGAGCCAAATCAGTAAACTTCTTAAGCACACAAGAATACTGGTAAACCTACTCTCAGTTCTACCAATCAGGGAAAGATTTACTCTACCAATCAATCTAATACTAATTTGGAGAGTGTTAATCATTAGCTGTCATAGATGAATATCTCCCCAATCACCTTGAAAAGAAGAAAGTTCAAAGATATCTAAGAGAATGATTAAGGCAAATTTCAGACAATAAATAACAGTTTTAAAGGTGCTTCTCGCATGAGAATGAAGATAAATCAGAGTCCAGATGATTCCATATTGCTAAATCAAGCCGAGAAGGTTTATTAGAAGGATGCTTTTCTTTTCCTACCAAATGCTAAAAATTATATTAAAAGCTCTGCAACAATGAACTAAAGTTATGTAGATCGCAGTTTTATGGATCAGAGTACAAGATTTGGAGGAATTGCCTCAGAGTCAAAGGAATTGAACAATTAAAGCTTGAGTTTGGACTAAAGTCATTTAGCAACGAATGAAGTTGCTGCTGTGACTAATATCACTTTCAATGATCTGTCAATGACTTTAGACAAATCAAATCTAATTTATCCTCAGGATGATAATGATAGAAGACCATTTCAAAGAGACAATGAAATGAATTCTTAACAGACTGATGCAGATCTTGACTTTATTAATGAGATCCATGCTACTGAAGATGAGAGAGAATTCTTTGCCAAGATGCACAAGAAAAATCTATGGAAGTTCAACTAACCATCAATAAGTGAGGGGAGCCTTGATAATGGATGGAATTGGGATGATGACGACTGTCCTGTTAGCTAATCAGCTCTTGATAAAATCAAGGAGGCAATAAACAACACCTTCATTGAAAATCACACTTTCAACTACTAGATGTCTACAAGCGATGAGGACTCTTGTGGATTTGATATGGCTGGAGTTTATCACAAGTATAAAGAGGAGGAGATGAAAGAGCAGAGCCAAAGTTATCTAAAATTCAATGATTTTATGCCAATGGAGGAAATGCTATTTCCTGAGATGAGTTGGGATGAGTACTTAATCTAACAATAGAATAATCATGAATAAATTTCACCTTGCTAATGATATGGATTAATATTTCAAGTATATATCTCTTAAATTGCTTAATAAAAATAGTTCATTATATTTTTTCAATTTTAAACAGTGGGGTTTTGGGGTTTTGGGGTTTTGGGG